TATATATATATATCGTCAAATAGAACTGCCCGGTAAACCGTAGGCAGAGAGGGAGAAGAGGACAACAAACGAGGGGCTGTGACAAACTGTTTCGTCGGAGTTTCACCGACTCATCAGGAGGCTATATATATATATATATATCGTCAAATAGAACTGCCCGGTAAACCGTAGGCAGAGAGGGAGAAGAGGGACAACAAACGAGGGGCTGTGACAAACTGTTTCGTTGGAGTTTCACCGACTCATCAGGAGGCTGAACCCTCAACAGTCTGTAGAATCCCCTCACTGATTACACTGTATATATATATATATCAGAGAGAGAGAGAGAGATTGGAAATTGGCCGAGCGGGTTTGGAAATTGGCCAGGCTGCAATTGAGGTTCAAGGTCCTGATTTCTTTACATCACAGCTGTGGCCGCACGGTGTAGCCTAGGCTGGCCCAATCGTGTGCAAAAGGAACAGGTGGCTGATGTTTGTTTTCTGAACATCATTAGCTACCAAAGGAGGTATACGGCCACATACCTCTTTAGCAGCTTCAAACGCGCTTGCTACAGACGCGACCCATGGCGCTGGTTCTAGGCGTCGCTGAACTGCAGCAGATGCTTGGACCCCTCCTTGGGCATCCTGACTCATCTGTGGGCCTGACCCTTCTGAAGTTTGGTTGGCACACTCTTGAGCTGTCCCTGCTGTGCCGTCGCCACCTCCGCTGGACATACCAGGCGTGCTTGGTTTAGGTCCCCCAGTTTCATGGCCAGAAACTGCTGGCGGTGAACCCACTGTATTCTGCAGCTGCTGGCCACCCATTCCAATCGACCCTCTCAGCACTGCCTCCCGTGATGGCATTGCCGTGCTTCCCTCCATTGTGCTTGTAGGGGTAGTAACCCCCGAAACAGACTGTGACGGCGTTCCTGGGCCATCCATCTGCATGTTCCCATGTACAATGCCGCTGCCTCCTGCCACCCCTGAGGCAGCTGCTGCATCCCTGGCCTCTGCCATGGCCTGTGCCTGAAGCCGGAGTGAAGCATACCGCTGAGCCGTTTCCGTCCTTTGCACAACCTCCTTCCGCTCCAGAAGGTACGTCCTAAGAGGATAATATAGTGCCTGCACAGAAACAAACCCATGAGCCAGGTTCCCACATTTACAGAGCTTTACGTACCCTAATCTGATCTCTTCAAACTTCTTGAAGTCCATTTCCGATCCACTGAGTATCTTGTAATGTGGGGATAGTCCAGCACCTCCACCAACACATACCCCAACTTGCCAAACTAGCATGAGATCAATCCTACCTTCTTCAGCCGAATACAACATACGATCATTATATAATTGTACCTATAAATAAGAATATATAATAAAAAGAATATAATATACATACATATAATCAAAAGAACATATATAATATACTAAAAATATATATACTATTTGTAGATATGTGTTGAATTCAAAACAACTTTGCCGATTACAAGAAAGAGAATGATTTTGAATTACCATTATTGGTTTTGCTATTTGAAAATATTTATTTGATACAAAGAGGTCAATATATATGAACATAGAAGTGACTGCACAGCTTGCTACTCTGCTGTATTTAGACTGAAAGATACCCCCCCCCCGAATACAGCCACAATGACCGTACATTGTATTCAGGTGAAGAAGGTAGCACGGGCAGCCAGCTTGCATGGTGGTATGCAGTCCAACATAAACAGTGGCGGTTTTACTATCCTCCTATCCAAAATTGGACATGCTTGAAGCAGAGCACCAAGAGCCCTCCCTAATCAGAGACCAGGCTGGAGAATATTATCCACAGATTCCACACACAAACTGGACAATGCCACAACTCTATCAGTCCACATCGCGTCTTCCCCGCCATTGCTTTTCAGAAAGATGCTTGAAACAAAGGACCATCACCGTAGATATGCTATCATGCTTACATACGAGGAACCTCAATTCACTGTCCCTTGCTGCAACCACCATGCAATGGAGCGATGAGGACAGTACACAGAGAAAAAGGCAGGAGGGGATTAGGCAATCCCAAGGCGTCATCATCACAAAATGCCACCTTCAGACTGCCTGACAGAGTACACGGGAGGTCTAGGAAATCATAGAGCGACATCATCACAAAATGTGATAACCAACGACCAACAGATTCAGGGGCAAAGTCCCAGACCCAGACACAGACCTCTACTCCCTCCGTCCCCACCCCTTCCCTTCCCGGACCAATAACAGAACGAACAAATTGACCGGACAGAGGGAGGGGAGGGGGAGGGGGAGGGGGAACAGGGCTAGAGCGACATCATCACAAAATGTGATAACGACATCTGCTTTACACTCTCTGAAAACCCGAGTGTAATGGAAACACCAAGAGACAATACAGCCTAGAGCGCAATGAACAATTCATGACCCCAGTGCAGGGAAACCCTCAAGAAGTCCGATACAGCAACACATCACACAACTTCTAGCAGATGGGATTCGCCGCATGCAATGATCCCAGACAGCCCAGTGTAATGGAAACACAAAGGGAATATAGCACACCTACAATGCGATGAAATTGAAAGACCATGCATGACCAAGGGCGTGTTGACACTTGCCTGAGGGAACACGTTCGCAAGCTTTTGAAGGATGGGCTTCACATGCTGTGCTTCCGGACGTTGGAGAGAGACGAGCAGCTGAGGTATCCATGATAGCCAAACCCATGGAGCAATGCTGTCGCTGTATTTGTCGAAAACACGTCCTACAGTCTCCTTCTGGTTCTCAAAGCTCAGCAGACAAAGCACCCTTGCTAGGTGGGAGCGATAGCTCCGCCCATTCGCATTTCCGAACATCACACCCTGCATGTAGCCAGGGCGAATCAAACAACCGGGAAAGACAATGGTCATCGTTCACATCAGTGGGCACAACACAACTAACGGATAAGAGCTTCAGGCAAAAGGGCAGACCTCAGAACACAAATTCCCTCATGTGGCGAAAGCGCAATTTGACCCATGAGCCTAGCTCAGTGGGTACACCCTTGAACTGTTGAAATACAGACCAGTTTTCGAATCCAAACAATTTGCGCAACTGGCCTCACTCCTCTTCCCCACTACATCAAAAGAACTGGTATTGACTCTATTGAGCTATCATGGCACAGAACAAGCTGAAAATTTGGAAGACGCCTTGCCTCCGCAGTTTGAAGGGGTTTTGGATTGCCTGATGACAGAACTGCAGTAGCACTTCAGAGATGGGAAACCCAGGAAGGGACAGGAGGTGAGTAGGGAGGGGGAGAGGGGGGGGGGAGGGGAGAAGCGGAGAGCAGAAGAAAGGTGGAGACACCTCCTCACCTGTAGGAAACAGCTGACAGTGTACTCTAGCCACAGCTGATCGTCCTTCTCTTTGTCCCTCTCTCTGTAAACCTGATCACAATAGTTTCCCCAGCTGATCCAACCCTGTGGTAGATTGCGACACAACGAGATGGCCTGCGAGAAAGCAGGATCTGCCTCCCCTTCTCCTAACCTCCTAAGAAACTCTCCTTTGAGCCGAAACAGTTCCGCCTTGTGCTCTGGACAGAAGTAGTCCAAATTTGTTGCATCGATCAGGCTACGACCTGTCTGCAGCTCGTCTTTCATCCCCAGATATGCTTTTGCTTGCTCTCGTATTTTCACAAATGCCTCCTGCACGAAGTGGTACACCATACAGAGAGAGAAAACTTCAGAAATTGCCACCATATCATCATGCTTCTGCCGTAATCGACTCCATACTACACAGAGTCCATGTTCACAACTCTTGACCCTTTCATACCTGCGGATGGGGAAATCAGTCTCAGCAGCGAAGCTAATCTACGCAGCAACACGATGGTGGCATATTTAAGAGGCTTGACAAACGTATTGTTGCAGGGAAGGAAGGGGAGCAACTTTCCTGTCTGCCCGAGGAGATAACTCCCAGAGTGAGACCGATCGAGACGCAGCAAACCAGACCGCGGTGAACAACTGCAAAAGAGAGGGAGCACTGAACCGTGATGAGCTAGGCTACCAGAGTGGCCAGGGAACACCTGCCCGGCCAAGCCAAAACAAATTAGAAAAAAAAAAAAAAACTCTTGCACGGCCGGGCACCCCGGGCAAACAAGGTGCCCTGGGCTGCCCGGCTGGTAGCCTAGGTGATGAGTGAACATAGTGATGGGGAAGAGTTGGGTGTGACCTAAGACCCTCCGCTGCCTGAACTGCAGTGAGATACTACATTGATGCCGAGAACTTCGGAGCAACCTCAAAACATTTGAAAAGACATAGGGTTAGCGACAGAAACTAAGATGAGAATATGCTGTTGCCTCATCAGGGCTTGCTTGGTAGGGCATGTTTGGGATTAAAGGGCCTGCAACCCATTAGAAAACCTCTAACAAAGTCTACAATACTGGAACGCAGCTGAGTGTCGGACAGCCACCCATTTTCAAGACACACACTACATCTCCAGAAAACTAACGAAAAGAAATTAAAGAACAAACAAACAGCCAGGACCATACGGACATGTTTTGCCGACCCTGAATTTCACTGTGCTCCGGGTTTGCCGAGCCTGGGTACCACTCCGTTTTCTTTCTGGTACTCTCATGGCAAGAACAGGAAAAAAAAAAAAAAAAAAGAAGAAGAAAAGTTGCGGCCGTGAACCTCAGAAAAGAAGAAAAAAATAAAAAGGAAACAAAGCTTTGGCCGTGATTGCAGTTGTATACATTCTCGGAAGTGGTAGTGTGAGTGTGCCCTCAGTGAGGGCATCTCAGTCCCGTGGCCAGGTTGTCAGATTCGAAAAAGAGAATAGAAGGGGAAAAAAACGGGCACACGGATCCGGCTGTGAAAATGACTGGATACATTCCCCTAAGTGCCAGTGTGATGAGCATTACAATCCTCTGACAAAACACAGCTTGAGCAGATCACGGACAGCTTGAGCAGGGGACTCTTACGAAACACACGACAAAAAAAAAATTCAAAAAAAAGAAAACAATAACATTCAGAATGTGACCGCATTACCTGTAACTTCTGTAAGGTGCATTCTGTGGAGGAAGACTGTGAGCACGGCTTCCTAGACTACCCTGCCCGACATCATTGCAGTAGAGAAAGCATTTTCGTTTTTCCCTTTTTCCTTTCACTCGTGGCACTATAAAACTCAGATTTATGGAACATTGCCGACCCTGTGTCCCACCCCCGATTTCATCAGGAACTGGCAAAACCTTGTAATTTCCCAACACTGGTGAAGGTACTAGTGGTAAAAAAAAAAAAAAAAAAAAAAAAAAAAAGTTTAAAGAACTCACCTGCACCTCCATAGTTGCATATCCATAGGACTTGTTCAGTATGTTGACACAGACTTCACCAAGACCCTGCTTCCTTGCAATATGCGCCATCTTGTTGACGCTCCATGCCTTCTCTCTGAACCCCAGCTGATACAGGCTGGGGTTGGATTCTGAATAGATCTTAAACGCCGGGATCACAATATTGTACCTGCAGCAAGTCGAGGAACCGATAGGCACACACGTGTTTATCGTGCAAGCACACAGTTGCACTTCATCAGCATACTTGCAACCTGGGTGTGCCCGGGCGCAAATGTGAATGTTGGGACACACGCCCAGCCGCCCAGTCCAGCAGGAACCCCAGGTAGGGTCCTGGATATCCTCGATGCAAGTTCAAAAACTCCTTAAACCACCACTACCTTAGCCAGTGTTGGGAAAATGGGAATATACGTCACACCGCACTTTTCGGGGGTCCAGCAGAGGGGCGACCAGAAGAAAATATTCGGGCCTTGTGGGCCCAACTGAAAAGAAAAAAAAATAAAAAGAAAATGAAGCTGCATAGTTGAATGGAAGGACGACAGGGGGGAGGCCGCGAAGGAGGTGTGCTCAGAGTAGTGCTTCCAGGAATCCATCTGCCCAGAATAGTTGCTTGTTCCTTCTTTTATTCTTTTTGTTGTTTGTTTTTTTTCTTCTCGTTCACTTTTAGTGCCCTGCCAACAAGGCAGGGCGCTTTTCAAGTTTTCGCGGACATCTGACACTTGCAACTGAAAGGGGAAAAAAGAAATAGTTGAATGTGGGGACGTCGGGGGGGAGCCGTGAAGGAGGTGCTCAGAGTACTGCTTAGAGGAATGAATCTGCCCAGAATCCGAGCTTGTTTCATGTTTTTTTTTTCTTTTTTTTTCTTTTTTTCCTTCTCATTTCGTTTTACTGCCCTGCCAACAAGGCAGGGCGCTTTCCACGGACAGCTGACACTTTGAACCGACGGGCCTCCAATTCTGTACCCAGTCGTTTTTGCGTCCAGACTCCAGACTCCAAAGTGTTACTGCGTTTTTTTTCCTTTTTTCTCTTTTTGTTTTTCGCAGGGCCGTGTTTTGCTGAGGGCCGTAACGCCCAGCTCGTACAGCATATTGCGAGGAACAAGCCCTCACGGGGCCCTATCAGACGTCACATGTTCTGGGCAAAGGCCCCCAGCAAGCCAAGTGCCCGCCCTAAGTGAAGGCGGGCCTGAATATTCGTCAAAGGCCAAAATTCGACACTTTTGTATGTGGGTATTCAGGCTCTTGCAGCACGCCAGTTGGTTGAATGGACGCGCGCGCGAGCCTCACTAAGCTGCGTCGTACAGTTGGCCCAGGCCTTTACAGTTGCGCCTGGGCACATACACACAAAGCAGGGTGGATACATTGAGAAGCAGGCCATCGGCCTATGCAAAAGCAGTACTGTCGACACACCTACCTGGGAGCCCTGCACAAACAGCCCAAGTCCGGAGACTCAGGCCGTGCCCAACTGTAAAAGGGGCCCAGGCCCGCAACTGTAGGCTTGGGCCTGCGCGCAGGGACTGAGGTCCAACCGGAAGCTACTGGAAGCTTCCAGCCAGGCCACACACAGCATCCAGGAGGCTGCCACTTCCATAAAAGAAACGAGGCAGCCCAGGCCAAGTATTCTGGCCCGCGTAGGCAATGCGGAAGTGCTGCTGCGCTACTGCTTGATGCTGCGCCGCGGCCAAGGGCGCTGACGGGGCGCATTGAGGTGAAGTGGGGCGCTGCAGGGCAGCGGGGCGCAGGCAGCCATAGCCGGGCTGCTGGGTGCCGGGGGTAATGCGGGGGATCTGGTGGTCTTCAGGGAAGGAGGCGAGTGTGGGGTTATCAAGGTATGATTGAGGGTGACGAGATACGTACCTGGTGCATGAAGAGAGGTCGACTATGGTGTTGACAGTCATGCACATTGGTCTTCGAGAGTCGAAGTGAGCCTGTTACGTGAACCAGCTGTAGGTAGGAGTCGGGTAGAGTAGGCTGGGAGCTGGGGGACAGACAGAGAGGAGCGACTTTGGATACTGTGTTGGTGTGGCCTACGGGCTTGAACATTGGCTCATTACTTCGTTGTATTGCTCTATATGGATGGTTTTCTCGGTGCATTTGCACTCTCTGCTTGGACACGACTACCTGGACATCTGTGTGATTTCGCAACTTGGTTTTCTGTATATCGTTCACACTCATATTCCTTGCAATATTCTCACATGTTGTTAGTTGTATGTATCCAGCTGCTTTCTTGTCCAAAGAGTTGTCGCTTTTCTTTTTCTTTCCCCTATGCCTTGATTTGCTGAGGGCTGTAACGCCCTCCAGCTGCTTTCACGCCCCTTACAAGTTGCTTTTTTGTTTGTATTTCGCTATTTTTTGTTTTTCATTTCCATAGAGTACCAGAAAAGAAAATACAATGGGACCCAGGCCCGACAAAACTCGGTGCGCAGTGAAATTCAGGGTCGGTAAAAACAGGATCGGAGGCAGTGGTGGTTTAAAGCACAAGCACACAGCCCCAGCCTTGCAGCAAAACATCTTGTCGCCACAAGATTATTTGTGCGGCTAGGGCCTACCAGACAACAAGGGCTGGCGCTGCCAGCCAAAAAAGAAAAGAAGCGCCGTGCTGGCAGTTTGGAAAGTGCGCCGCTGGCGGTTCGAAAAAAGAGGCCGGGGTGTACTGGTGGTTTAAATAAATAATTAAAAGGGATAATTTATTAATTTGTAAAATACCCCCATAAGTTGAGATATATGCCAAATTGCCCCTCAAAGATGTGGGTAGAGCGGACAGCCCCTCTGACAAATAAAAATATTTTGTGAAAAACCCCTGGCATTGGTTGGACCCCCATCTTTGCAATATACCCTTACCGGGTGGCGTCCAACTTTGCAAAATGCCCCAGTACTTGCCAACTTTTCCTAGGCGCTATTGCAAAAGGGCAAGGACCGAGCGGGGAGGTCCAGATTGCAAAGTTGCACAGCCGCCTGACAGGCGGCACAACACAAAGATTTCGGCCCAAAAGGGCATTCCACTATACCCACATATTTCAGGGGCATTTTCGCATATTTCTCAACTCATGGGGTATTTAACCGTATTTACCAAATTATCCCGAAATCTGTGTTAAATTCCGGGCCGCCCGGCGGTCCAGCCTCCGTCCGGCAGGGGTCCCGGGCGGCCCGGCCGGTTGGGTCCCCCGGTTCGATGCCGGGCGGGCCCAGCGCATTTTTGCGCGGTGGGGGGGGGGAGGCCTGTTTCGACATTTCTGGGCCTTGTGAGCCTCCCCGGCCCCCCGCGCAAAACTTTTCCGCGCGCGCCAGCTTCGAATTCGAAGCATCGAGTTGCTCCCGCCGCTGCCCAGTGTAGTTTGGTCGAAGTGCAGCCGCGCCGACCTAGTACTCCCGCCGTCGACGCCCGTTGCTGCCCGCCCTGTCGACGCCCGTTGCTGCCCACCCCGTCGACGCCAGTCGCTGCCCGCCTTCGTCGAGGTTGTYCTCCCGCCGTCGACGCCCGTCGCTGCCCGCCATCACCGAGGTGCCCGTCGGCACTGCCGCCGCCGCTGCCCGTCGTCGTCAATACGGTACCGTTGCGCAAAGTGCCACGTGTCAGCTCTCTCTCTCTCTCTCTCTCTCTCTCTCCTCCTCCTCCTCCTCCTCCTCCTCCTTCGTCATCCTTTTCTTTTTCTTCTTTTTTCGTCGACGTACCAAGAAACCGGCAGATCCTTCTCCTCCTCCTCCTCCTCCTCCTCCTCCTCCTGCCTTCGTCTTCTTCTCTCCTCCTTTCTCCTCCTCCTCTCGTTAGTTTTCTTTATCAGTCGAAGTGCCACATGCCACATGTCAGCCGAAGTTCGGAGTTCCTCCTCCTTTCTCCTCCTCCTCCTCCTCCTCTTCCTCTTCCTTCGTCATCTTTTTTTTTTTTTTTTTTTTT